CTTTTCACCTCTCCTGAAAGAAGTGTTCTGTGGTACTATTTTGGAGGCCTATACTGTCAACTTATGACATTCATTTTCAAATGTCAATGCTTCTAGAAAAGTCATTCTTGACAATGCTTTAGCTTCAAATAAATAATGGACTAAATTAAAATGACACATTAAATTTCCCATGTTTGTTGCATTCAATGAAGTATTAGACAATAAATGCAGCAATGCATCAAAGGGTCTAAAGAAAATGGCTTCTTTTATACAGGATAAGATTACGAACATCTGAATCCCACGACCCGGTTGGGTTGAGATTATTATATTCTGGGTTTGTTGTCGTTGTGTAATGTCAACTCTTGGATGACTATACACACTTGAGAATATGCCTTCCTCAAAACTTATTTTTTTAAATTTACCAAACTCTAGCAGATTTGGCAGATTGTCAAAAAATTAGGCTGTGTTTAGTACACAAGAAATTCAATTTTGTGGAAAATGAATTTGTGTGAAAAGTTTTCCCAAATAAATTTAATTTATTAATATAATGTGCTACTCTTGACTTTGCTGGGAGAAAACATTTATGCAATACCTACATTCTACTCATGAGTCATGTGCCTTCTTTATCACCCAATACTCAAACCCATACATCAAAGCTCGTGTGTGTGTTTGTGTGTGTGTGCGCGCATGCACTCGCTCACGTATTCAATGAGATAGAAGTTGGTGTAAGTTACTATGGTTAAAATCTCCCTATTTACAATAGCAGCAGGAAAATGTTGGCGCCCAAATGAACATTAACCATCCGGTCAGTATTCCTGCCAGTTACAACCGTAGCCTATTATTTAGCCCCTTTTCTTTCCACGTCTTCTCTTTTCTCTGTGCTGATTATCAACTATCATTAGGAGGCGCTACAAACGAAGCAGATAGATTAAGGCGGCTATGGGGCGGCACAAAAGCATCTGGTCGCCTGAAGAGTTGCAGCGGATTTGGCTTCGATCGGACGGCGGTTGTGCAAGACTGTGGACGGCTTCGATACTGGACGATGACTTGGGATTTGAATTGAATTGATATGATCGGCCGATGCAGGCTTTGCTACTCGACAACGATGACTTGGGATTTGATCGGGACAACTTCGTGTGACAACATTGAAGGAAGAACAGTCAGGGGTTTAAGTTCTATTTTTAAATTTTTTATTATATTGTTTTTTTATTAAATTCCATTTTCATGAATTTCATTATCCAATAATAAATAATTTTTTGTTCATTTCAATTTTCTTTTAGTGAATGTTTGAATTATATTCTAAGAATATTATAGTGCCATGTCTGCAAGAAAAATTAAGCAAAAGCAACTAGAATTTATCATGCTTCGTGGGATCTCCAAGTTGGTTTGTCCATAAACCAATTTTTATCCATCTTTGTCTCAAGAAATCAGATTCCAGGTAATTTTTTTGTGTGTTGTAGATAAGTTAGAAAGTGCACCAGAAATCTGGGTTGATCCCCAAATTTTATTGCTTTTTTCCAGGTGCAGGGCATTTTCTTGGCTGTTTTCCGGAGCCGAGAATCAAGAATCGAGTGACACCGAAACAATAGATTTTCATTCTTTCCCTGGGCATTTCATGGAATCTAAAAGAAAGATTGGCCTTTCGCTAGCAGGTTTTGTTTTCTCAATTGAAGGAAATCTAATGGTTCAGTTCTCGATTATTTGGACATTAAATTTGGACAGGCTTTGGAAGCAGTACTACATAAGCAATTTATAGCATATGAATATGTTCATTTTTCTAAAGTCTTGATGTATCCACACTTGATGTAATACTTTATTTCTGTTTAAAACCTTTCTTAAGTATCTTATATTTTTCCTTCCTTTGTGCATCGTACAATATATGAAGTTAATAATTATGTTACTGGCTTTGGATAATCAAATATTATTTCGACAATCTAAGAAGATGAGAAATGCTCTGTGGTTGTGGGTCCCATTTCCTAACTCAGGTTTAAATGAAAATTTCAGATTCTTATTATAAATATCATCATTTTGTAATGTTAAATGTTATGTTAAAATATGCAGTGATTAGTGTGTGTCTTGCAGAAAAGGTGTGCTTTTTTAACTTGACTAGGAAAATTTGTGTACAATCCGTGAATCAGAGATTCATTTAGGCATATCCTTCCCCACTTGAATGCCAAACCTAAATTATACCCTAAGCTAAACATTCTTAGGGAAGACTTTTCTATTAAGTTCTGCAATTAATATTCTTCACTCTCTTTCCATAGTTACTCTTGAATTGGTTCTGAGAAAGTGAGAATAAAAAGTTGAGGCCGGGAAAGTTTTACCGCATAAATTAGGTGCAATTGCTTTGACTTTTGAAATAAATTGAAACTATTGCTCCACCAATAGTCTCTGGCTTGAATACACATTGATGAATGCGTGGGTATGTTCTGTAGTTTCTGATTTTCATTTCCACCCAAATGTGTGATGAGTAAATTTTTATACATTTTTTACATGCACATACATCTTCGGAAAAATAAAAACAAATCATTTGTCCTGGCCCATTAATAAATAAAAACACTTTTTACATGGGTGACGATAGTGGTGATTTCCTTCTATCTAAATTTGAAAAAAAGACATGAGACTTTTAAAGAGTACTTATTAATCAGTTGTTTTTATAAAAGAAAATACATAGATTGGGATAGAGACATTATTATGAAGAGATGTGAATGCTATGTCTTCTTTTTTGTTGTAATAGACTAAATAAATTTAGTGGACAGAGTGCTTATTTTTAATCTTGATTTTTATAGTCGTAGAAGTTTAATTTTTCCTATACTTCTTGACATGTGCCCATTTTTAAACTATTTCCATTTTTTAAAATTTCCCTCCTTCACACTAATGGGTTTGTAATCCACTCTTTTAAGGTTGCTATTGACTCATGAAATTGTTTGATATATTTGTAGGAGTGCAATTCGACAAGAGAGATGCAAGTCTATGAACTTAATGTTTGGAGAAATATCATTGCAAGATTTTTTCTCTTCAAAGAAAACTACAACTACATTTAGCTTTTATGTTGTTATGATGAAAAGGTAAGTACTTCGCATTTTATGAAGTACTCCGTAATCTTTTGTTTTGGTTTCATATCATGCTTTTAGCTTCCTTGGCTAATTCTAGGTTAGTATATGTCTCTATTCATGGTTGAGTTGAGATCAATAATGTTGCTGGCCCTAAAAGACACGTGCAGATATAGTTACTTTGGCAACATCACTTTAATTGTTACTTTCCGGTGCAAACATGCAACTTATTTCTTATTTTTTGTGGCCAAGAAGATTAGCTCAATTTGGAGTAAGATAAGCAGTGATTTATTTGGCTAATGTGTAACGTTGGCTTTTAGGGTCGGGGATGACTATTTTGTATGCTTTTGGTTGATTTAGTTTCATTGAATGATGATTTAGGGTGTAGGTTTTATGGAGCAAAAATTTTTCAACAAGAGGAGACGTAGGTCATGAGCAATACATTGCAGAGTTTTCCACTTTGGATTATACTTCAGATGCTTTGCACAAGTTGTCACTGGTAGAAGTGCTCTTTGGAGGTTTGGAAGTGCTTAGGATGCTTCCTTCCATAGTTTCAGCTTCGGTCTATTTAGATTATTTTATTTTTTTGAAAACTAAATTAATTTGTTGTATCTTTTTCTAAGATACTATGTTATGTTCGCTTCATGAACAAAATTATTTTTTTGAACAAAATTATTCTTTTCATTTTCAAATTCCTTAAATCAAATATAGTGTTAGTAGCATTAATTCACCATAAAAAAGCATTAATTCTCTCTGTTGTTGTTGTGTGTGTGTTATGCTTCTTTTAAAGTTTTATTTACAAATGTATGTGTTGTAAAAAAGTATGTATGTACGATGTTGAGGTTTAATTTAATCCGACCTTTTAGTTTAGATTTAGACATTTGTATTATATACTCCCTCCGTTTTTGAATATTTGTCCACTTTTGACTTTTTTTGTCAAAATTGATAAACTTTAACCTCAAATTAAATAAAAATGATATTAAATGCGGAGTATATATTAGAAGAAATTACTTCACATTTACTTTGACCTCAAGTATGTTTAAATTTTTTCACATTTAGAAGAAATTACTTCATGAATTTATATTTAATATTATATGCGGAGTATATATTAAATGTTGGTTTATACACTTATATAATATTTGTTATTTTGACATTTAAATCAAAGTTTACCGTGCAACGCACGGGTTAAAATCTAGTTACCAATAAAGTAAAAATGTCCTATATAGATAAATCATAAATGTTGCCATAAAACATATTCAATCGTCATAAGGGATGATAATTAAACTATACATCAGTCCTGTTTGTTGAAGAATTATGATTACAGATACTACTAGGGGCTTAAGATCAGAGAACACAAGAAGTTAAAATCACCTCGGAATTACATGTGGATTAAAGTAAAAAAAAACTAAAGGACTAGAATTTTGTGCAATCTGTATATTACAATTCTAAATTTTGGCCAATCAAGCAAAACATATGAAAGTGTGGCTTATTTAAAACAAAATAGGATTAAGTGATGAACTATGAAATTTTCATTAATGTTCACAAAGTGAAAGTAGTTGGATCTCATGGGCTAAACTTTAAAAAGAATTATACTCACAGATTACAAAACAAACAAACCTAGTAAAATTAGGATCTAAGGAAGGTTTGTATACACAAACCTTACCCCTACTCGTAAGTAGAGAATTATCTTCATAAATTGTCTTGTAAAAGTAAATATTCTTAAGAAAAAGTGAAATGACCTTATGGTCCAACCCAGAATTACAATAAAGGGCATCCATTTTAAAGGATTTATTTAAACAGAAGCATCTGAACAAAATCTTTGGAGAATACATGTTATAAAGTCAAACATGCTAATTACACACGCGACTAGCTATTATATCAATATAAGTCAGTGATGACAAGAACTAGATCAAACAACACATAATAGCCTTGAAAGTAGTAACTAGTTTGCGGGATGTCATTAAGAAGAAAGTAAAACACAATTGATTCCTACATTCACAGCATTTAGGGAGCGTTTGGATCACAGGAAATGCAATGGTAAAGAAAAAAAACTACTCGGTACTAAGACAAGTTACTACTTATGTTTGAATGTTGTGATTTTGCCATTGCAAATGAAAAAACGAAATTGAGATAAGATTAGTATTTTCCAGAGTGTGGATTTAGCACTGCAGGACATGGATTTCACATATATTCACTGCCTGTGGACAACAAATGTAGGAAATTATAATGGAGGAAAAACGCTGCGGAGCAAGGTTAACGAAGAATCAGAAGAATAACTTGATAGAGTATAACGAATCGCGTAAAACGCTTTCAGATCAAAGTTATTTCGGAGTATACGAAATACTTTAATCGGATAAGACATTAATCAAGAACAAGCCTTTCGAATTGTATCTTCAACGATACCCGAGTGTCTCTATTTATAGAGAAGAAAATCGACGATCAGACATGATCTTTCGCATAAAAGGTTTGCAAACTTTCGCGCGGTAGTGATAAACGCAGACTTTCAACTTTTGGACACAAATGTTCGTAGAGTTTGGTCAAAATTGGTCTTTATCCGCCCCTTGGACCCCGCTACCCCTGCAAACTTTTTACCCCTTGGAGCCTGCCAGGGGCTGCCGCTCCTTGGACCCCGCTACCCGACCGGACCCGCTTTGAATTTGTAATATCGTTGAACGAGTGCGCACTCCACGTTTCCTAACTCGTTTGACAACGTCTATTCAAATTTTTGTCCGATCTAAGTAAACCCAATCACACAAAATAGTCGATACACACTAAAATCACCAACAACAAGTTGGGGTGAGATTGAACTTGAGAACCCTAGCATGGCTCTTAGCCAAATGGAGAGTACGGAAAACTATGGGCTTTAAAGGAGATACCTCCAAAATGGGCAGGGTGGTAACGGCAAGCACGGCTGTGATTGAGCAGAGGATCGAACTTTGCCTTGCAAATTTTGCACGTCCTGAGGCTGGGCTGAGCTTGTTTCTCCGAGCATCGAACGGTGAATTTCCAGTGGCGCCGCTTTCCCAATTCCGGCACCTTGTGTATGAGTGCGGCGTTTTTTTGAGGATCTCTGGTTGCAATCCGATGATCTGCGGATTTGGGTATTAGTGTTGAAGAGCTTGGATTTATATGTACTGCCATGGCAGATTTGCAGAGTGAAGGAGCTACAAATATTTTTGGTTTTGGCTAGTGGCAACAGAAAAGTTTTGGGGGTTTATTTTTAATTCTATGAAGAGTGCACTGGAGCACTCTCGAATTGATCATAAAATTATATTCCATAATACTCCCCCCCACAGTCCGAAAATGTTATTCCCATTTTGACTTTTCACGGCCTCCTGCACTTTGACCATTAATATCTATATTTGCACAAAGATATATTTTATAAAAATTTGATATTTGAAAACTATGTTTCATTATGAATATATTGATATTAAATTTACGTTATAATACAATGTGTTTTTTCCAGAAATCGTAGTCAAAGTTAATAAACTTTGACCAAGAAATGTCAAATGTGAAGAACATTTCCGGACGGAGGGAGTATTCATTTACAAATAATTTAATATTCATTATTAAATGAAGTGATGTTTATTCTCAAATAATTTAGTGTTCATTCTTAAGTAAAGTACACTTCAATCCTTTTACATTTGAAAAATGTAGTATAATTAATCTTACCATATCATTATCTGCATCGCATCGATCTCAGCTCTATAAATCAACCGCTTATCTTCAATTAGGTTTCTTGCACGTTGCTTCCTCGATTTCGGATTGAGAAGGGTAGGGCAGCCCTCGGGTCGGGTCTCTGCTTCCTCCGATCGGATCTTTGCTCCCTAATTGTCATCATCATCTTCTTCTTCCACGATCCGTGCCGGCTGCTCTATACATGAATTGCTCTGTATTCCCTTTGTTTTCAATCGACGCGTTGCTCTTCTGCTAATTTTCACAGACTGTACAATTCTTCTCGTACATCCGACTGTAGAATATAATTTGCAGTGTGGGCCCCATCATTATTTTTTTCTTGGAGAGTGCTAGGAAAACTCCACTAAGAGTATACCAAGTGTACAACAAGACACAAATAGGCACACACAAATATTTAATGTCTGTGCACGAACATAGATTAAATGTCAGGGTGCCTATTTATGTCTTGGTGTATACTTTGTGTACCTCAAATGAGATTCTCCAAGTATTATTCTTTTTTCTTCCCTCTTTTGCTTCTCCATTTAAATAAGAAAAATACTTTGAAATCCCTATTTGTCGGTGACGTTGTGCAGTTGGCATGCTAAAAGGTGTCCAGAGATAATACCTGAATTCAATTTCTATCAACTGCGTTAGAAAACAACTATGGTAAGCATATACCATATGCAAGTAATATGTACAGACCACCATTTAACACCAACATGTGACCACCATTTATTTCTTCGGAGACCGTACGATCGATTCTGAAGGATCCTTGGAAATGGGATTCACCCTAAGTAGATCGGTTGAAAAATGGTGTGACTCTTGTTGGTGCCTCTAAACTTTTGTCAAACTCTTGTAAGGATTTAATTATCTAAAGACCTTACATCAATACACTTTGTATAGAGCTTTCTTTTAAATATTTACAATGGTGAGAAAAATTTCTTCACCACTCTCTCTTTACATTTTTTCTCTTTTTCACATCATTGTTTTTTAGTGTTCAAAATTATTTAATGCTTCCCAATAGTGAGGAAATCGTTTTTCCTCTAAATTCATCCATCCTACACACACTCTCTCTCTCCTATATCTTTTGTACTCCGTATAAAAAAAACTCCTTACATACTAAAGAAATTAGTTCATGTTAGAAACACACTATAGGTGCACCCGCGGATGACAATTATAGATGATTTATGCACACGCCGACGACAATCATAGACGATTATTGTCTGTATATATATAAATTATACTACCTCTGTCCTAAAATTAACTTCTCATTTGACTTTTCACGGTCTCCAATGCGACACTTTGACCATCAATATCTCAGTTTTTATATAAATATATTTTATAAAAATTATATATTTCAAAACTATGTTTCAAAATGAATCTATTGCTAATAAATTTATATGAAAATTCAATGTATTTTTTTCGTAATATACGGTCAAAGTTTAAAAAGTTTGATCACAAAAGTCAAACTGAGAAATTAATTTTAGGACGGAGGGAGTATGAGATTGTCATTCGTGGGGCACCAGTGATGAATTTATAACATTTTTGAAATAAAATTTACACGCATGGAAACTTGAAAAGTGGAGGGAAGTGGAGAAGTACACCATTGGGAACAAAAAGTATTCCCTATGAGTGTAATTTTTTCATACGAGTGTGAAGGCTCTAATCGATTTAAATTTCATACCACTTCTTGAGATGTTTTCACATAATTGAGCAAAAAATTATAATTGAGGGAGAAATTACAATTAAAGGCATATGCAGTACAATGTTATGTAGAAATCTATCTATTATATATATAAATAAAATCAAAATGGAATATACCAATCCATCTTTAATTTGCAGCCAAATTGAGAAATCCAAGGATCCAATTTCTATTTGGATCAATTGGTCTAATCTTTACCATTAATTATGTAGAATGTAAATTTCATAATAAAATTTAATATGATGGGCATTTGTTAGGCGAGAATGGTTTCTATATTACACTTATTGTAGCATCCCCTCATCGTTGCATGTCTCCTATCTACCGCAAAACTGAAAGATTGATAGTACTCCGTAAAAAAAATTAAAACCGAAGAAAGATATATAATTTTGTCTCCATCTACAATCGTATTACCATAGAGAGAGAGTGAGAAAGAGAAAGTTATGAGTTATGACATTATTATTAAAAATGCATGTGTTTTTTCAAAAGAATGCATATGTGTTTTATTACGACATGTTACACAGTATATGATATGCACATATTTTATACACTTTTTATGCATATTTTGAAGGAGTTTTGAGTCCCAATTGAATTTAGTGTTTATATTTTATTTCAATTTTCTGTTTTATTTGGATAGAGCGGTCCTATGCTTGGTTTTATATGTTTTACAGGTATTTTGAGGTCATTTGGACGCATGGAGAATAATTGCAAGAACGGAAAATAAATATGGAAGTTTGGGACGGAAAAAAATGGAAGAGATTTGAAGGAAAGAAGAAAGTAAACAAAACTAAAGAAGAAAAAGGCCACTGGGATTCAAACACTGGATTTGACCATTGCACCACAACTGCTTATTCGGCATATAACGGGCGGACAAAGATAATGTTCTATATTGAAATTCGGCCATTGATTGAGAGAAAAATGACAAAACACCGACGCTCCCGGGGGAATCAAACACGGGATAAGTGGCGCGACAAACAGCCTAATTTCCATGTGGGCTGCTGTACCTGTGTTAACAATTGGTGCACTGTTTGTATATAATCCGTATATACGGATTCATCTATAAAAACACCTCCCTTCTCTTCTTCTAAAGAGGTTGGAACTCCCCACTTCTCACTCTCTCCATATCCGAAATTCTCCTCCTCCATCACTAATATCTCACCACTTTCTTCATCCAAATACATAAAAATTACTTCATCTTCATCATCATTTATCATATTTGGAGCTCAAGAACACATCTTCCATTTTGTAAGATTTTTATTATTGTAATAAATATTTATTTGTTTAAGCTTCAAACTATGAATTTCTAAATTCCATTGGGGTTAGAAGTTGGTGTAATTAATTGTCCATCTTAATGTTTTGAATATTTTTAACATGGATTGTTGATTTTATTTTTACTTAGATGTTGTATTTAAAAATAAATAAATTTGAAATGTTTGTGATTTTTAATTAAGGGNCCAATCATAAACATAATTGTTACAAGGAATATGAGCTAAAATTGATATAATCATAAAATAGAACACTTTTTAAATACACCGTAAGCCTTCTCTACCTTTAACCGGGATTGAAGACTTTCGGGTGGAAATAGTTATTGAGTTGTATTTTTACACCATTAAATTGGGTAAACATACAATAAAATAATTATGGTTGTCGTTGCTACTATATAATTACTCCGGATTTATCATTAGCGTGTTAAAGTCGGAGTAGTTATTATTTAGGTGATTTGCGAGAGCGTCCCTAAATACTTTTCTGCAACTCCACACATTCTATATAAAAATAAATTGACAATCCAACTTTTATAAAAACATTGGACAATTAATTTACCAATTTCTACCCCTAACTTTTCATCATCAAAAACTTTGTGTTGTTTGGAAGTCTCTCTTTTTACACTTTATATTTTATCTCTAAAACCAAAAAGACCAAAAATATTTTACAACTTCTTTTGTAAATTTTTGTTTAAATTAAATTAACTCACGTCTCCATGAGGTTCGACACCCTACTTACAAGGGTTCTTTTTAGTTGTTAGTTTTGCCCGTTCTATACTCCAAATCAGTATACAATAAATCAATAATCAACATGTCATCAACATGAATGATGTATCTAATTTTCAATGTTCTGAAAACCGGGCCGGACGTCGACCCGGATGAGGTATTGGGTCAAGGGTTGATCGGTCGAACCGGTCAAACCGGAGGTCAACGACTCGGTCAAACAATGTTTATAATAATAATATTTTATATTATATATTAGATAAAAAATTATTTTTTTTATTTTTCCATCTAGTTTTTAATATCACTCTGCATATGCTATTTCACACCTTTTATTTTGTATTCGATTATTTTTATTATTATTAAAAATTGATAATGAATTTCTAATAAACATTTAAATAATTAGGTGATACACATATTCTCAAAAAGTAAAGACTAGATAGTGTATTGTTTTATACAATTAACATTTTAAACTTTATATTTGGTTGAATAAAATGATTGGAAAAAAAATTAAGATATTAAATTATAAATACTAAATATTACTTGAGTTTTAAAAATAACAATAATTTTCAAGTATTAAATTTACAGTGTATATTTGATTTCGAAAAAAATTAAATAATTCTTAATTTTTTGAAACTATTTAAAAAAATGCAAAAAGTGAATAAAATATAAATGCACACTTGCAAAAAAACCTACTTGTATTAGTTTGTTTTGTATATCACATATGTAAAGTAGTATATATGTAGCATTGCTCCCCAGATGTTTCCACAAAACGTGAATAACTTCGTTGGCAATATGCTCTTTCTCTATAGGCAGTTGGTTTTGGGTTCGAAACCACGCATCCCACATTAATTGATTTTTAAGAAATTAAATAGTAGATTTTGGTCCAAACCCGTGAACCGGTCGAATCGACCCGGGTCACCCAGTTCTCCGGGTCTGGCGGGTTTGGACGGGTCAATTGAAAACTGGGTTTAGCAATTGAATCGGACCGGATTAGTGACTGGGTCACGGTCCAATCGGTTGGACCGGTCCGGTCCGATTTCCAAAACACTGCTAATTTTCCTTTTTGTTCACATCATCAAAACTTGAAGAATCTTAATAAAATTCTAAGTCAACCTAAAATATATTCTTCAAAATTTAATGCCACTGAAGTCACCCCATACTCGATTGAAAATTACCTCAAGAAACCTTATTGGAATTTGACTTGGCGTGAAATTGAAACCTACACAACTTGACATTGTCTCGACCCTATGCCCAAACTGACATTGACCCGACCCTATACCCAAATTGGCATGTTTAAGTTTCACCCAAACTAGACCAAACCTATATCAAACCCAAACTCAGATCCAAATTAAAGTATATTGATTCAAACTTGAGCCAAATCAAACTATACTCAACCCAAATGTGTTTTTCCAAGCTAGCTAGTATCGCTTAACCAAAATACACCCAACTCGTATCCAATCCAAACGACTAGTTTGTCATGTCGAGTTGGATGGGACCGACCCCTTGAATGACACCAATAAGCCTCTAAGAGCAACTCCAAGAGAGACTGTAAATTTTGGTGGTGTAAATCACATTTTACACTGTCAACAATATTTTACCCTTCTAATTTTTTATACTTGCTCTAATCATATCTTCTATATTACACATTTTATACTTCCTTCGTTCTCAAAAACACTTCCTTTTCATTTTTTCCAGTTCCAACAAAAAACTTCCGCAGTCTATTAAAAATCACTTTTACCCTTACTTTTTCATATCCTACCTATCATAACATACTTTTTCTCTAATAATATATCCATCACATCTTACTTTTACCTATCATATCAAGGGCAAAAATTGAAACTCAACTACAATTTTACATTTCCTTATTTTACATTGGCTCAAACTATGAACCATTTTTAAGAACGGAGAGAGTAATATTTTATAGAGTAAATTCCATAAAAGGTCCTCAGTTATAGGTCGTTTTGCATATTTAGTCCCTACATATGAAATATTACTAATTTAGTCCCCAATTATTATATCAGTTTTCAAGAATGGTCCTTTGTTAACGATTTTGTTAAGAACATGGATAAAATTATATATTCATACTTCTTTCTCTCCTCAATTAAGCTTCCTCCCTTCTCTCGTACTCTTTCTCAAACTCGTCGCTGAGTTTGAAGCTCTAAACCCAAAATTGAAATGATCATTTCTCTCTCAATTATTAGTCTTCTCGGTGGAACCTAAAATCAAAACCGATGAATTTTATCGGTTAGCCTCAAGAAATTGCAAAGAAAATAAACGTTAAAACCCATCCATGAAAGTTACTGGTTTCGGATTTGGGTCTACCAGTTAGACAAACAATTGAGAGAAGAGTGTTGATTTCAATTTTGAGTTCAAAGCTTCAAACTTAGCGACGAGTTTGGGAAAGGAGTGCGAGGGGAGAGAGGAATCTTAATTGAGGAAAGAAAGAGGTGTGAATTTACAATTTTATCCATTCTTAACGGAAATGTTAACAAAGGACCATTCGTAGAAATAAATATAATAATTGTGGACTAAATTAGTAATATTTGATATGTAGGGACTAAATATGTAAAACGACTAAAAACTAGGGACCTTTTATGGAATTTATTCTATATTATAAGTTTTTAATATGGGCTGGGCCCAAATATACTTCTTCTACTGTTGGGGGAGCAAGACAAAGATCAAACAAATAGAAGGCGATGCGTAGATTGGCTTTTCTACTTTGATACAGTACCTTCCATTTTTACAAGTTGTGAATAGAAAAATACAATACATTGTATTTCTTAAGTCATGCGTTGGAGAGCCTATTTTTGAATAGTAAAGGGAAAATCTTCCATTTTAAAGCATTTACTCACTTTTACACCCCCTTGGGATTGCTCTTGCAACTCCAACCGGTAGGTTAAAAATGAGAGGCTAAAATGTATTTTTAGACTATCTACGGTACTTCAATAATCAATTTTTTTAGGTGAGCTCCAACTACAACTTCTATAATTCTTACTTTCTTTTTTTAAATACACAATTTGATAGTTTCAATCGGTGAGATAAAAAATCCACAAATCTAGCAGATGACTTCAATTCACAATTCAAGCTAATCGGAAACAATCCACAAAAAAAGAAACTTGATTTCTTCAATCCCCATGATAAAAAATGAATCCACAAGAATTAGTGGCTGAATTGGAATCATCAAAACAAAAAAAAACATAGGTCCATACCTTGGCGAAGCTTTTGCCAAATCGAGCAGATGGAGAAGTGTTTCTCAGATCGTGTTCTAGGGTTTGGAGAGCACGGAGAACATGGAAGGATACGATCGAGCATATGACTTTTCAGTTTTCACCTTTCCACTTTGCTACAGCAGCGACTATATTTACACGATCAGAATGGAGAAATACACTACAGTCTATTTTATAGCCTACCCGTTGGAGTTCCAAATTGTGTACAGTAAAGGCTAAAACTTTTATTTTGTACACTTTACTCCCTTTTACACCATCCGTTGTAGTTGCTCTAAGGTCTTTTGTTATAGCCTTTCTTTGGTATAGTGTTATTATGACTTGTGACTTTCTCACTTCAAAAAAAAAGACGAGTCCTATCCCTAAGGGCTCTCTCAAACCTGATCGGATGGTCACTAAGATAAAAATTATACTTTGGTCGTAGATTGGTGGCAAATAGTGAAGCATGCACTTGGTACCTACAGATGCTCTATAATTAATTAGCATAATTATCTCCCAGCATAGTTGTAAAGAATTGAATTCAAGTTTTATCTCTTTGACACTCTATGCCCCTTTATCAATTGCACAATGTCCCCCGGCGATTTTCTCACTTCAATACTTCAAGCTTTGGATGTCAATTCAATTGAATTTATTCTAATGCAAATTGTAAAACACCATAGTAGACCTAATAACGATATACGGGTATAATAAATGTAAACATTGTGAAAGAAGAAAAGAAAATTAAAGAGCACTATTGTACTAGGTTTGATTCATTGAATTTGAAATAAATTCGAAGATGACATATATAAAGAAATAGTACTTGTAGTAGTTCATACATTATTATTACTCCCTATTAGGTATTAAAAATTGTACAGTAGTTACATATGCAACCCAAACCCATAGAATATACTACACCAGTATGTATACTCCTTCCGTCCACAAATAAATTTTACATTGCGCGTTACGATATTTGACTGAAGTTATTTTCAAATCATTTTATATGAAAAATTATGTAGAATTAAAAAATAAAAATTACATAATAAAAAATTATATCAAAAGATCTACAAAACTAGAGGTGACATGACTATATTATTTTATCAGACGAAAATAGGTTATCAAAGTGAATAAAGTTTGACCATGTGAATAGTGCGTAAAGTTTATTTGTGGACGGAGGGAGAGAGTAGAATTAGTAATTGACTCACACGGGGCATGTCTCACCACGAGAAACAAAACAATACAGTCTGGCATGTCATTGCCTTCTAAAGGCTCTTTTGTTTTTGTATCTTTCTGTATCATTTCTTTACTCTCATCTATAATGCCCCTTTTCACCCAATTTTATTTCTTTGTATATTTTTATATTCTCTCCATCCTTAATTTGATTACAATATTCTCATTCATTTTTGTGTAAAGTTAAAATTAGCTTGGGGGTGCGCAATTGAAGGGGTGGGGGTGTGTTCGGGTCGGAGCGGGGTGAAGGATTTACCAGGGGCAGGAACATTCAGTTTTACGAGCGGGGCACCGGGACATCCTCGGAGCATCCTCGGGTCATCCCTCGGATCAAAATAAAAAATAAACTAACTTAAGCAAAGAAAGTAAAGCAGTGAGGTGTTATACTCGTATAGCCACTCAAACAGAGTGTTTATAGAATACACACCGTCTCAATTGAGAAATTTATGGTACTTCATTCGCAAAATTAGTAGTTTTTATTTTTCTTAATTCTTCGATAAATCTCCCCACTTAATCCGGACTCCAACCTCTTCAATTGCACTCTACAAATTTAGTTGATTCTAAAGACAAAATTTTATTACTCTAAAGTCAACTAATGTTAGGGTCAGAACTGAGAACTAAATAAAGGTTAACGGAAAAATTAGAAACAGTTTATGAGTAATTTACGAAGATGACATTGTAAGAGCATCTCCAACCATGTTAAAAAGACTTGCTATATGCTAGAATTTGACAAATTAAGTAAAATTTAATACTCGAAGGGGCTTGCTAATGTTTGACAAGCTTGCTTAAAAATGAAAATGACTTGCTACTAATAACAAACTTGATAAAATATAGCAAGCCAAAATGAAGAAGAAAAATGTTGGTTGAGTTAGTTTTTTCATGTACCATGACACATTTGTTCCCTCACTCTCAGTACAACAACGCAAGAAAAATAAATAAATATTATTTTATGTTTTTTACAAAAAAATAATTTTATTTTTTACCAAAAAAATTATAAAATTTATTTTGTTTTAAGTTTAAATTGCATACTTGTAGAATATTAATTAATTTTTATAATAAAATTTTAAAATCATAATAAATAATGTACTCTAATAGTGAAATCAATACATTTTTGCTAAATTATAGTAAGCAAAGGTCGGAAATGATCATGTGAAATGACTTGTTATACCACTATTCACATGTTAGTAAATAACTTTAGCAAGCTATGTTTAGCAAGCATGATTGGAGATGCTCTAAGTGTCTCGGAAAGCAAAAGGACGGCAAAGTCAAAACAATTGATTGGATTATGGCAATACTATGAAAACAAAAACCAACCACATTCTTCTTCCATCTCAATCTTTTACTTTCTTTATTAGCGTATATATATTCTATATATATATATATATATATATATATATATATATATATATATATATATATATATATTTGTATTTGGACTCCTCGTTTGTATCACCGAGGGGCTCTTCGTTTCTATCTCTATGTACATTTATATAGGCCTTTGTATAATGAATCGATCAGGCAATTTTTAGTTCCAAAATTCAACATGGTATCGGAGCCTCGTTGACTAAGAGGTCACGGGTTCGAAACTCAGCGCCACCGAGTTTAAAAAAATTTAGGTTTCACGTGCAAGGCTCGAAAAAGACTACGCCTGCACGTGAGGGTGCGTGTTAGAATATAAATTACTGTTCCTGAGCCACAACCACAAGCTTGAGCTTTTGGTTGAGTTGGTTCCTTGTCATGGTATCAGAGCCAACTTAGTTTAGTCCGTCCCTGTTTTTGATCGGCCGTCGGTGTCCCTGTCGTGCGTCCCTGTCCTAGACGCCGGGCCAAAATTGCCGATCGGCCGTCCCTATTTCGGCCGCAAGTCTCTGTTGGAGTTGTGCCCTGATGGCCAACTGTTTATCGTTATTCTATCATGTATAGGCAGATATAATATGTTTACACATCTCATGCTAATGTAAACAAATATTATATTCCTAGATTTATATTTAAAAGATGTTTATCAGATAGTGTTTTTCTGCTGATGAGACTAACATCTTGAAATAAATATTTATCTAAATGTCCATAGTCGAGTATTAACGAGAGTGGGATATCGTTAATGCATGTGAGACTAGTGTGTGTTGGATGTTTGACTTAGTCTCATAGTCAATGACGGTGTGTTCGCATCCGCACATGGGCAGATATTATCTAGAGATAATAGGATGCCGGACTGACCCATCCTAAAGATGTTGCTTGAACTTTTAGTTCATGCTCTAAGCATTTTTAGCGCGACCACGGGTGTAACTATCCTTCGACTTGAAGTATTACGATTTCTGCATATGTGAACCCACATACTTTGATGCATTGTCC